TATATATATATATAATTATATCTTTTTTTTAAGTACAGTTATGTATTTAAATGTCCCAATATTAAAATTTTAAAAATTCTTCTTCTTTTAAAAATTAGAATTGGCACCAAAACTTTTAATTTTAATGGAACAATTTGCAATGACATAAATATGTTTCTGGATAAATACGTAATTTACAATTTGTCAAGGGGCAATTCAACCATTTCAGCTCCACCCCCATAATTGCATCAAAACCTTACAAAGCCGAGATCGTGAGTTCAGTGTTGGTGTCAAAGTGCGTAGGGTTCCAGGATCCCAAGCAGCTGAGAGATAATTTAACAGAGGAGATACCAAGGCGCAGACTTTCCTTATTCTCCATTCCCCTCACAAAGCCCCGCATATTTTATCCTCCTCTGCACTCTCCGCTCGAAGTCTTCTTCCTCTTCTATTTCTCGAATACCACTGTTTTTACCAACTAGGGTTTTGGTTTCTGTGCTCGCCGGGAATGGGGTCTTCTTTGCCTCCGAAGGAGGCCAACCTGTTCAAAGTCATTGTCGTAAGTATCCGAATTCACTTTTGTATCGGATGATTTGAGTTTTAAATGAATCGTTACCGCTTCTTCTTCGCTCATGAATACCGCACATGCTTTTTGTATGGAGTTGGCGCTGTGCGTTTGCGCTGCTGATTATTTGGATTTTATTTGCTGGTGGTTTGTGCTGGGTGAAAAATTGTAACTTTGGATTGGCTGGGCAGTTTAGGGAATTTCATATGATTTGGCTCGTGCAGAATTGTTAGTATGTTGTTAATGAGCTATTGGGCATTGTAAAGTTACTTTTTTGCGGGTTTGTTTCGCTCGTCTTTTTTCTGCTGTTGTGTTTTGTTGTATGTTAACTAGTGGTTTATGTTGGATGATCATTTGGTAGCGGCTTATTGCTGGTGATGGAGTGGATTGGTATCAGTTCGTTCTTATGAAGATTTTTTCTTTTTAGATGGGATTGACATAATTAAAATCATAATGGGACAATAGATATTATAGTAATTTATATTGCAATTTAAAAATTGCACTTTTTGTTATGTAGATGGCGCCTTAGAAAGATCTAGGAACCGTTTGGATGTAAAAGGTTTTTCGGGGATGTGTATGGGATATTCCGTCTATTTTCATCTCCTAAATGTGGCGCATATGATGTTGGTGAAACACTTGGGGTTGTTTATTGCTTTGATTATTTGTGTTCTTTGGCAAGTGGAGAACCTTGAGAATTGAGAGGTTAAAGTGATGATATCTTGGATATTGATCCCATCTTGTCTTATACTTAATATCAATTAACTTTTCTTCGATTGGCTAAATTAATGAAGAATGATGTAGACTTGTCTTTGCAAGATTCCAAATGTTATTGTCACATATGCTCACAATGTAATGATTTTTTATGATAATGTGTTATAATAGGATTCTCTTAAATAGTTACAATTTAACCATCGAGTTGAAAATAAATGAGCTTAAGTTTTTAACAACCAAAAAAATTGTGTTTGTGTTTGATTTGTTTATTGTCAAGGTTTTCTAAAGAACAAGACCAGTCGTTGACCATCAAATCAACAATAATTCCACTTTTTATTCCATCTACATTGAATAAACTTTCTGATTTTATTTAATACAAAATTGTTGAGGTTCATAAAAGTTAATTAATTTGTTTTCCATAATTTCTTGAGCATATTTTGTGGGTTTAAGTATAGAAAACTGCATCAGTAAAATGAATCTTTTGTCTATGTATGTGAATATATAAATATGTACTCACACTTACATATTTGATTTTTTTATGTATTGAGTTTTAATTGACTGAACATAATACAACATGCTCTTGTTTGTTTTTGTCTTAATTAGTAAATGAGATGTAAAGTAGTTCATGCTTGGCTCGCTTACTTAACAAATGATATGAACATGAACAATTATTGAGCTGAACACATGCATTTAGTGAACATCAAACTTTTGTCTCTGCTTGCATGATTTAATTTGCATCTACAATATACCTTGTGCTCTAACTTGAGTCAATTTGTCCTATATCTCATCACTGGCTATTGGCAAATGGACTTCTTCATTCCATCCCATCCTCTTTTTGGCCATCTAAGAAATATTTCGAAATCACTCATTGTGCTATTATAATTCATCATGATAACATCAACGTCACACTTCATTCCATGACGATGATTTATGGTGTAAATAATATTGTTCTGCACCTTTTTTGGAATTTTATTTAGAATTCTTTTATAATAGAAATTTCCCCATGATTATTTCCCGAAGGAAACATTGCGATTTTTGTGCCACTCAGAACTTCCCTCCTTTAGAATTTTGTATGTCAATTTGGTTATCACTCTCTTAAATATGGTTTAGGGTAGAGATTCCATGATAAATGGATTTGTATGGTAGTTATTCCTTGTTTTCCTTGTAATTCCAAGCCTTTTGTTCATTAGAAACATTAAGTATGTAACCAAACGTGACATGGATAATAACTCTGTACACATTAAGATTATAATTCAAATGTTATAACAAAGAGAAAATGAAATAGCTTTGCAATATTAGCCATAGCTAGACAATAGAAGCATGGTTTTCCAAACCTTATTTCATTTTATGATTGCAATTGATAAGTAACTCTTTCAGATACATTTTTATTGGTTAACTCATGGTCACCTAGACACACCTTTTTGTGTCATTGTTGCATAAACCAAACAAATCAAAGTATTAGTTATCTTTTAGCATGCTTTAAGTCGTGATGGTCACCCCTTTTTGTTTCTATGTACGATTCTTGTCATGGAGATTTTCCTCAAAATGTTGACGATCATTCATAGTATTGGGCATGTTAATATCCACTCAGGGACAACTGACCAGTTGAAATGAGGAGAAAAGGATTGAGTGATTGATTCATTATGCCTAAGAGGGCTTATTATAATGATAATGAAAACAACCTAGAATGGTTCCAATTTCACTGGGGAAAGAAACATTAAAATATGTTTTTTGGTGCAATTGGGTATAAATATAAAAAAATAATAATAAGAAATTCAACTATTTTCTCTTGAGCGACAACGGGTTTAGGACTTGTGCTATATCTATCTATCTATCTATATATATATATATATATATATATATATATATATATATCAATTGCTTAAAATCAAGAATCAATTAAGGGATGAGTGCAAACCTGCATCTATCCATATAAGAACTAATCGGTTGGAAGCTCGTACATTCTTAGACGCGGAAAATTTTTTCTATTGGATAATGTTTCAGGGCTCAATTTTCACGAAAAATGAACTAGCTAGATGTGGATTTTGTTTTTATGTTTGAACTGAAATAAAAAACTTCTGAAGATTTCAGCTAAAATTTCTTGGATCAGTTAGAAAGAATACAATGAGATATGATGTGGCAAAAGGGAATGATAAAGGTTCTTAGGTTTCATAAAATCTACAATAAAATTAATGTTAATCTACATTACACACCCTCCATTGTCCCAAGCTTGCAAAACCTAAAAAAATTGTTAATTTATGAAGATCCCAATTAAGAAACATTTTGAGGATGAAATAAGGTTAAAAGAGAAATTTCTCCGATAAATATCTCTAATTAATTTATGAGAAAAAAAGGATTGTGAGGGCTTTGATGATGTTTTGGATCGACAGGAATTGTTCATTTGCACTTAAGGGTGTGTAGGTGGTTCAGTTGGTTGATTTGATTTGCAGTTGAACCAATATGTTTCGATTTTAAATTGTAGAAAATTGAAACAACCAAATGTTTTTTGCAAGCCAAATTGAACCAAATCAAAATTTAGCCTAGCCAGTTCATTTCGGTTCTATATGAATCGAAATGTGGTTAATTTTTAACGATAAATCTATTCACTAAGAGCTTAAATAGCATGTAATAAGAAGGATATCAAATAATCTTTATAAAATTTGTAATTTTTCCATCTGGAATAAATAATGTTCCCATTGATCTTCGTGCCACTTGTTCTTTGTCAAATTTATATTTATAGTTCAAGAGTTTTATTGGCTTGATGTTTGAATAAGTTATTATAATTATTTTTTTTATTTTTTGGTTTGATTGGTTTTACAAAAAGCAAGGACAAAACCAAAATCCAAAAGTAAAAAATCAAAGAACGTAAAAATTATAGCCAATAATCAAACTAATTTTTTAACAGTTGCGTCAAACCAATCACATAAGATAGGATCAGTTCATTTTTGTGGTTTTTACCAAACCATGCATGTTTCTATTTGCGTCATAGCAAGAGAAGATGGTTATTGATGAAAATTCTGTATAGATTTAACCACACATACTAATCAAATATATAGCATCTATCATTATTTGATAAATCTCGTATTTGAGCCTGAATTTTGTAAGCCTTAGATTTTATAAAACAGATTTATGAGGTCCTATTACGCCTGGATTCACTCCAAAGTTTGATTTCTTTTTTTTTCCCCTATTTGAAATTACACCGTAGTATAACCCGGTTAGAAATAAATTTTTGGAGAATTGCAGTGGTAAACATTCTCGTAAAAAACTTGGAAACTCTTTTTTATTCTTTGCCTTAGTAGTTTGAGGTCAGAAGGTATTATTTAACTCAGCAATTCAAAAGTGGCTCTAGTTATTTTTCTTTTGAATGCAAGCGTTAGAAAGAAGTCCCACATGTATTTGTACTAAAATGACTTTTTGACATCGACAATTTTATATTATGCTCTTGCCCAATGCTCTAAGTCAGTTTAGTTCTGCTTTTGGTTCTCCTAGTGATGCAATGCGAACTGTATTTTTAATAAGCCAAATTTGCAGAAGTGAAACAATGCTGTGAAATTCCTTGATGATAATTCTAACAATAATAGCTGTGTGAACATTTTTCTCCATTACAGGCAAATGCTTGTGTAGAGTTGACCTTCTTCTATTGTTGGTAGCATCACTTGCAAATTTACATTTTTTTTCCACACATAATTTTGCGTGTAATATTTGGAAATTTGCTGGTTTTTAGTGTATTACTACATTTTATTTTCTAGGCAGTTGTTACCTCAAGATGCCTTATTTTGGTGCTCCATAGAAGTGCTAGGTGCTAGTGTTTTATGGTTGTAAATTTCTTAAGAAAGTGGTGGATTGGTTGCTTTTCCTCGAAAGGAATAGATCATTATTGTCTCTGTTGTAGTATTAAACTATGAAGCTTTTTATTTATTAATAATTTTCGCCTTTTATTGTTCGTGCATCACAGAAATCCTATGAAACCAAGCAGTATAAAAAGGGATTGAAGGCTGCAGATGCCATATTAAAGAAGTTTCCAGAGCATGGAGGTAAAGAATTTGATGTTTCCTTGACGACTTATTTCAATGTTCTTTCTTCGGTTATGTGATTTATTTATTTTTATGTGTGCTTGATACTTTATTGCCTTAATCCATATTATAAACCCTTTTGTGTGTATCTTGCTTACTTATTTGCATTACATCTACCCATCGATTAATTGCACAAACCGTCTTTTAAATTTGACTTATTATTCATGATTCCAGGAAAAATGTGTCAACTGTTGATATGCCCTATTGAATTACTAGATAAAATAAAGCATGTGGTTAGCTCAGGTTGCTTACTTTTATTCTGTGGTTGTGATGAGCCGTGAAAACAGTTTTTGCAACAGTTGATTTTTATTTTTATTAGCAAATCATATGCTTCTAAAATTGGGTAAGAAAGATGGAAGAATAAAAAAGAGAAACATCGATTAGCGAGAAGGAATTTACAAGTGAGTGAACCGCAGCCCTATTTTATAAAGAAAATAGCGGCATGGAATGTGAAAGTGGGGTGTAAATGCCAGTGGGGGTAATAATAAAATGCTAGAAGAAGATAATGTGGAAGGGCTTGAAGATTTTTCTATCAATAAGAAGGAAGAAGAAATTTAAGCAATCTTTTTTGAGTCAACACAATGTATTAAAATGTTTAGCGAAAAAAATATGACAAATGAAGATGATGTGATTTTAGTGAATATATTAACTATAAAGGCATTTGAGGTGTCTAATAGTTAAATATAAATGTTGTTAGTTGTTTTTCCATAATTGAACTATGTATAAATGTTGTTAGGTATTTTTGCATAATTGAACTATGTAAATATCTTTCATGTGGAAAATTGCCGGGTGAAGAGGTGATTGTTCTCCTCTAATGAAAGCACCGAAGGAGTCTGATTATTATTATTATTTTTTGTTTATTCTTGAAGGCATCTCATGAAGCAATGATTTTTATACAAGCCATTTGTTGCTTTGTTTTTTTTTTTTTTTTTTTTTTTTTTTTGGTGACCGAGCGAGGGTTGCATTTTATTCTCTACTTCAAGGTTAGCTCATATTGTTTGGCTTAGTTTTGGTTTAGATTAATTCCCATATTAGATTGATGATATTATAGTTGTTAGTGGCTGTGATAGTAAACGATTTGGCTTTGGCCTTGGTTGTGGAAGCTTGGTTTCTGGCTTTGAATTTTCACTCGGTGATTTTTTGTGCAATTTGTTTGAATATGGGACAATTTCAACTGCATAATTATAATATTTCTAACTTTCTGCAGAATTTACATATGGTTGTTTATATTTTGTTATTTTCATCTCTTGTTCTATTTCATTCAACATAATTTGACCTTTATTTTGATAAAATTGACATTTTGAAAATCTAATTTGTGATAATTAAAATTCATAGCTGGCTGATTGTGTTTTTTGTTTATTTTGAATTTATCAAATTATTTTGATTATTTTATTATCATTTGTGTTCAAATTCTAGTATCGCCCTATTTATAAATAATGCTAGTAAATTATTTGGTGGTTTTTGATTGATGAATTCTTAATCTCTTTTGCCTATACTCATACTATGCATCGTATTAGTTGCATTGGGAATCCTAATCTAGTATCATATTGTATCAATGCCAACATGTTAGGGGCTTAGTACAGTTGTGTGATGTCATTGACACAATGAACTACTTTATATGAAACTAAGACTTGTTCTAGAGTATGGATTCTATGAGTTTAATGTCAAATTTTAAATTAAATCTTCAACTATAATTTAGATGATCTTTCCTGTTTTCATTGGATTTTTTTATTGTTAAGGGCTTGAAAAAAACCTTAATCATACTAAATGGGTTGAATTCTATGAGTTTAATGTCAATTTTTAAATTAAAGCTTTTACTATAATTTAGATGATCTTTCATGTTTTTATTGGATTTTGTTATTATTAAGGGCTTGAAAAAAACCTTAATCATACTAAATGCATTGCTTTGACACTATTTGCTAGTCATTTTTCTTCAATAATGTGCTAAATGTAGGGGTGTGAACGATTTGATTTTGAGCCGATCCAGAGCCAACTCGAAATCAAATCGAAATATTTCTGAACAGATGGAAATCGGATCTTGGATCGATCCAGTAAATTTTGATCCGATCTAGTGTGGATCAATCCCAATTTCGAGCCGGCTCGAATGCCAAAAGCCAGATTGGTCCGGCTTGAACCCGCCTTGGCTTGCCCTACCAGCCCACCAGAGAAAAATGTATTTTTTTTGTAGAAAGAGGGGATTCAAACATCTGCCACTCCGCTCAAGCAAAAAGGGCCTCCCTAACTAAGTTGGCAATGCATTATGCATGTAAAACTAAAAATTTAGGTTTTATATCTGTATATACATAAGAATTTATTTCGATCCCGGTTCGAGCTGAGGACGGATCGAAATCGGATCGAAATATATTCGATCCTTTAATTTGGCTCGTAGCTCGGCTCAAATGGTTCGATCCGAGCTAAGTTCGATTCAATTTTCGAGTAATTCATGATCTTTGAGCTAATTTCACAGCCCTAGTTAAATGGAGTTGGAATATTTTACTTGCAGTTAAGTCTTTGTTTTTTTCTGAAATGACTGATGAATATGGTTTATTTGGAAATGCCTGTTTAAAGTTTGAATCTTTAAGGGTGTATTATGTAGTTGTTTAATTCTTATTTTCTTTCTTGCTAAGTTGTTTGAGGATCCTGCTAATTTTTATCAAATTTTATCATTACTTTTTTCATATTTCAACTGCTGTCAGAAACCTTGTCAATGAAAGGGTTGACACTGAACTGCTTGGATCGGAAATCTGAAGCATACGAACTTGTTCGACGCGGCCTTAAGGTTAGTTTCAAACAGTACAGTTGGGTGTACCATTTTGCTCTTTGGTGTTTTTTTTCTTTACTTTTACAGAAATATCTTTTTGTATGTTGGTATTTTTGCAGAATGACCTTAAAAGCCATGTTTGTTGGCATGTTTATGGTTTGTTATATCGGTCAGATAGGGAATACCGGGAGGCAATTAAATGCTACAGAAATGCCCTGAGGATAGACCCAGACAACATTGAAATTTTAAGGGATCTTTCTCTTTTACAGGTTGGCGTTTCTAATGCATCTGCTATTGCTTCTTATACTTAGAATAGATGAGATTTACTTAACTGTGATGTTCTTGATTTTACTAGATGGTTCTTGAGTTTGTACTGCTACCTGTAATTGCTACAAAATTTAACTCCCTTTCTCTTTTTTTTTTCCTTTCCATTGTGGCAAGATTGTATGAGTCATCATCTCTTAGAAGTGGAAGTACAAGTTTAAGGGTTCTGCTTTGCTCACATTTTGCAAGCCAAATTATATATAACATTTATATCAGCTTTATCAATTTTGGGCAAAGTTCTTACTCATCTTCTATGTTAAAAATGATCAGGCTTAGCAAAACATATACATGCCTGGAAAGTAACTATGAATGCCTCTGTAGCACCTTCTATGAAACATAGGCTTCATTTGGTATTTCCCTTCTCTTAGTTTTTCAAAAATATTTTTGAGTTCATGAAGTATATGCTTACAAAATCATCTTTGTACATTCTCCATGACTACATCAACTCATCAACATATGAATTAATTAACAAAGCAACTCATATTTCTATTTTATGGAATGATAAATTTATTTAATGCAAAATAAATCACATCTCTATGGCAAGTTTTGGCCGTCACAATGATGGTTGTATTAATATATCAAATCCACTAAGGTGTTGGATTAATGTGTATGTAAAATCAATGTTTCCCATTTTTCTTGCATATTGAATGCATGCTGGATTTGCTCTTATTGATCATTTGTATAGCACTTCTCTATTTTCACCACTTAGTCTTACCCTAGAAGCAATACAATATTCTATATCTCCATTATTTTGTATGATAGATTCAAGATATCTAAACATCTTACCTTGATATCCATTTATTATCTGGTAACATTGGTTGATAATTATGAATGTCTCACCCATGAAAACCGCATACATGTACTCAGCCTTTAATAACGTGTGCCTTTTATATTTTAATAATTTTTTAAATTGTTCTTTTTATTTAATTTTATTGCCATGTTTATAGACTAAGCTAATATATTTCATAAGCTTCTCCGTAATCATTTCAAAAGGTATAAATTCAATGTTAATACAAGGTGCAATCCTACTGTTATTGAAAATTCTTTGAACACTCCATAACTTTTATCATAATTACCTTTAGCACATACATTTCTTTCGCAATGCATAATAAATCAATTTTCATAGAATCTGTTCATATGCCTTATATGATCTTTGCTTTATACTTTTTCATAGAATTCTCTTAGAACAAAAAATCGCTTATGTAATGAAACTAAATTGATTCTTTGATATTGATTTAGTTTGTTTAATTACATTATTTTCTTCTATAACTTTATTGCACGACTTATAAGTTTGATTCCTTTATAGTTATAATAATTTTTAAAATATTATTCTTGTTATAATAATTCCGCAACTACTTTTACAAACAACTAGAAATGCCCCAAACATTCTGAAGTTAGTTGCAAAAGAAAGTAGTATCTGTTGCTACGAACTTTTTTGGCTGATGTTACTTGCACAGTTTTTTTTTTTTTTTCACTGGGTCTCTTCTATTGCATGGTTGATTTCCTCTACCTAACACCATTATATGGCATCTTAGCAGCCCTTTATTTTTATTAATGAGTTTAACATAAAAATCTACTTTTAGAAGCTGATTATAGTATTTAACAAATTATTTCTAATTTTGTATAAAGTCTATATATTTCAGGAAAATTAGTGTAATTGACTTTCAGAGGGAACTTAGTGTTTTAGTATATATCTAAAGCTTTTTCTTTTGTAGAAATGATCTATGTCAAAACATTATTGAATTTAGACTTGAAGCGTGAAAGTTATTTTTGGAAATTCAATGTTTTTGGCTTGCTGTTTTTCTTTTTTAATGTACTGCTCTTACGTAACTAGGTTTGTGATTTATTTTGTTTTACATATGCCTTTTTTTTAAATATTATGGTTCTTTCACATATATTTTCTCGTGAAATTTTCTATGCAAATTTTGTTGATTCCTACCTGCAGATGTCTTTATAGTAAAACTTTGCACATTCCTCTGGTAATTCCCATATAATATCTTTTACATCTTTCTCATACTTATTGGCAGGCACAAATGCGTGATCTGACAGGATTTGTTGAAACAAGACAGCAGCTTTTGGCTCTAAAACCCAATCATCGTACAAACTGGATTGGTTTTGCTGTTGCACATCATCTTAACTCCAAGTATGCTATATTTTTTTTCTTGTTTTCTAGTTTTTTGTTTTCATTTTAATTTTTTTATGCAAAAAACTCGTCTTAAATTGTGAACACTGATTATGTGGCATCATGCAGAATTGATCCTTTCTGAAGAAATTCTAGTTTAATGAGGGAAATTTCTATGATGGTGCCATTGGTTAAGCTTGAGCACTTGTTTTGGTCTTTTTGCTCTTTCCTTTTTTTTATCGGACTTGGCATTTTCTGTTTTTTTTTGTTTGAGCACCCTTTTTTTATAGACTAGCACTTGCTTTTTAGCATTGTAAATTTTCCTATTTGCATGTCATTATTGTATTTTTTTTTAGTGTAAAAAACGTGTTTTTGTTTTTTTTTTTTTTTAAATATGGCTTGGTTGAAACTCTCTTTGTTTTTTTATGCTGCCCTGATCTTGCATGCCTGTTGGAAGAGCTGAATTTTGTTATTTGCTAACGTTCTTCTAATATACCAAGTGTTTCTTAACTCATTTGGGGCATTCCCGCTAAATTACAGTTTTTTTTTTTTCGTTCACACATTATTTTTTATCTTTTAGTTGTTCAAAGGCAATTGATATTTTGGACGCCTATGAAGGGACACTAGAAGACGATTATCCTCCTGAAAATGAGCGCTGTGAACACGGAGAAATGCTTTTGTATAAGGTAATTGGTTATTTGGAATTCTCATTTCATTTATATGATTTATTGGTAATAAATTTGTGATCTTCTATATTTGTAGCACTACCACTAATATTGATGTTGTGTTAAAGATCACTAGTTTTCTTGACCCGTAGGTAAATATATTAGCAATCAGGATTTAATCTATCTTTTTAAGTTTTTTATTATTGTTTTTAAAATTATTTCTGTTTTGGCAAACTGCACAAAGCATTTGGTAGCAAAGGCATCAATAGCTATTTTGGTATTGTATTAATGTTATGATGGAGATTTGGTAAAACTAGGAAGGGCATAACGCAATTTGGTTTTATTAGAGAGAGAGTACAAGAGGTACCAGAGGGACATGTTATAAAAATATTAATTTTGTGTTTTGCGCATGTAATTGAGTGAACAATGTAAGTTTGTAAGGTGGTAAAATAAGAAGGTAAATGATTGAACCAAACATTACATGGATAGAAGTTGTAGAAAAAATGGACATAAATTGTAAACTGCATTTAACTACAATCAGCATAAATGAGTGGAAAAAATAAATTTTCATGTGATCCAAATACTTTATTTAATGCAAATGACAACGATTTTGTGTTTTATGTAAAATTTAAAAAGCTCGGCTCTTCTCTTTTTTTTTTAATTTGAGGGCATACAATACAAATTTATATTTGTTTCTAAATTGTGTGTTTAATGATTTTTATGATGTTTATTTAATATGTATTTTAAAGCTGTCTGTGGAGAATATTTTTTTGGACTGAATTCTTCAGTGCCTTCTATTTATTATTTTTTTAGTTCCTCGGTGAACCTTTTTTGTGTTGTGAAATTTTCTGCCTTGTTGCTCGAGAATTTCAAGGGATCAGTATTTCTTTATTGGTGGCAAAATAATTTGTTCTTTCTATTCTGTATGCACAATGCAGCTGTTTACATTTTGCAAATAAATTCTACTTATTTTGTGGCTGTTTTGATCTAAAAGAGCGTTTAGCATATTTTTTCTGGACACTCCAAATATGTTTCTTCAGGTATCTTTGCTAGAAGAATGTGGATTGCTTGACAGAGCACTTGATGAGTTGTACAAGAAGGAAGCAAAAATTGTATGTCTTATACTCGATTAATTTTTTTTCAGCATGGGATTAAATATATTACTATGCTATTATTATATTTTATAATAGACATTTTACGGATATTTTATGTGCTTTCACCTCTTGAGCCATCTCCAAGAGCTATATGTTAATTCTCTCAGCAGAATTATATTATTTATTTAATAGCTTCTGTCAATTTATTAATTGTAATTTAATTTCGAGCCATCATTTTGCATTTAATAGATAATGTATGTCTCATAATGTTAATCAGGTAGACAAATTGGCATTCAAGGAACAATTGGTGTCCATACTAGTTAAGCTTGGGCGTGTGGAGGATGGAGAGAAATTATATAGGTCTCTTCTTCTTATGAATCCAGATAATTACAGGTAATTTTTTGTGGGCCTGCCAAGTTATATATATATATATATTATATATATATATATTCCTTTTTAATTACGTCAAAATTTAGAAGGTTTTAATAATTTTTTGTTACCTCTGTTTACTAACTACAGCAAGCAAATTGGTTTCTGACCGATTTATATATTTTATACTCATTGATTTTGGTGGCTGTCTATCTATTTGTTTAATAGCATCTTTTATTTTTATTCATTCCCACCTATTGAATCAACCCTATTAGTTGGTTCTGTAAATGTTTTTGGGCAGAAATCACCATCTAGCTTAGTTAAATTATTCTGGACGGTGGTTTATTTAATTAGTTTTTTAATCATTAGAAATTTAAAGTGCTACTGAAATTTTAGGCTGTTCAGTTCATCATTTTCTTTAATAGGTTATTGATTCTTTGTTGAATGCATTTGAAATGCAATTGTAATTGCTCACAACTGGTTGAAATTTACTATTGATTTTTTTTAATCTCGATTCTCGAGGATGGGTATTTGAAGAGTGAAATATTATCTTTCTACTTGTTGAATTTAGATTGTCCTAAATTGGGCGTAGTAGACAATGGAGGGTGTCAGTGATTCAGTTTTTTGAGAAAAATCTACCCTCATGAATGTTGACAACTTGGGGCCTTTGCAGAGTCTAAATTTACAGGATAAAAATCTTTTTGCAAAGTCTAAAATTACAGGATAAAAATATTTTTGGAAGTCTTTCCATAGGATTGCTAAATTGTCTTGATAAATGTTAATGGACGACCTTGAAAGAAGCTTATTTTTTTTTCAGAATCTGATTGACTATTAATTTTGTTCTTTACCTGCAAATGGGGAAGAAAGCATGAATCAGAGGAGTGACCTTTTGGGCTGTCATCAATGCACAACATCGTTTTGTTTTCACTATCGCGACGATAAATGTATTTGGATGTTATTCATGTTTTGTATATAGATCACAGCATGCATCACATGGAGGAAAACTTATTACTTGCGGATTGAAGGCAAAGGGTTAATTCTCTCAAATTTCTGTCCTTTTATTTTCTTATCTATTCAGTTTGGTGTGACTTTCTTAATCGATTGAATGATTCTCAAGAACTGCCTCTTCTGATTGGAATGTGGGTGGTGAGGTGACGCATGCGAGTCCCGCAATTTCTTGCACTGCAGGATAGAGATGCGGGAGATGGAACTCCAGTCTCAGGAAATTTAGACTTTACTGCATCAACCCTTATGGGCCCTTTCTTTAATTTTATTTTTAATTTGCAATAGGGTTATTTTGAGAGTACTATTTATAGGTTGTTATTTTTTGGGTTAGGGACTTCTATTTCTGGTTTATGTTACTTGGAGCTTTTTCTTCATTTTTCTCTGATTTGGAGAGCTATAGCCTATTTTTCTTTAAGTAATGAATCTATATCTTGAAACAAATAGGTGGTGGATACTCCACATAGTCCTTGCCTCGTCGTTTCACTATTCACCATTCGCCCGGCTATTTTTCAGATCGGATAGCTGCCAAAATGCTTCATCCCCCTTACCAACTTTCAATGATTTCATATATTCTCTTCATTTGTTATTTTGCAACCTCTTGTTAAATTCGATCCCACCACCTTTCAGTATTTCTAGAATTGTGTCATTTAGTACTAGAGCCTGACAGATCCTAATTTTTTTAGTATTTGTTTTTCCCGCGTCTAAACTTAATATTCACATAACTCCTCTACAAACTCAATATTCTAACAATCCCACTTCAATTCCCAGACCTAATCCTAAACTTATAAAAGCTAACCTTCCAACCTCCATCAAAACCTATCTCGACACCTACCACTTAAACCTAATTCCTTGGCCAACCTTTTATCAACAATCTTATATCAATCGAATCCTTAATTGAGGAGGAAGTCCAAATGCCGCCAAATGAAAACTCTCAATAATGTGTTCAACAGCGGGAAATCCTACAATTATAACAAATACTCGTTGATTCTGAAAGGCGACAACATGAGGAAGTCACCCACAATAATAACAATGATCGTCTAGATGGAGGGGATGAACAAAATCCTTTTCACATCTTCAAGTGATGAAAGGTCTGTTTAGGGCAGCTGCAACTTATTAAAAAACAGTTCTAAAGCTGCTAAAGAAAAATTTGATATTCAAAGCGTTGCGGTGGCTATTACAATATTTTTTTTGAAAATGTCTGGCCGTAACTACAAAGCTCCCACCGCACCTAGCCAGGACCGGTGGGAAATCACAGATTTCAACAGTAACTTTTTGATATAGCCGTCAAAACACAATTTACCTAAACAGACCCGAAGAGTCGATATCACATCAATTCATATTTAAGTATAGGAGAGAGATTGATTTTGTAGTAAATGTGAATTTACTGGATTTTGATGGTTGCATGGATTTGGACGACTTTATTGAGTGACTCCAAATTGTGGAACGGTTCTTTTAATACAAGGACGTTCTACTTGACAGAAAAGTGAAGATAGTTATCAAATTATGAAGAGAATTTTCTTGTGGCGGGAGAATCTAAAGCGTCTCCATCATCATGACATAGTATAATATCACAACTTGATTCAAGATAAAGTAGATGCAACACAAGTACCTGATAGCATATTACAAGCTTGATGTGTTTTTGAGGCCTCGTCACTTACATCAGAAAGACTTCTTAGTAGAGGAGTATACCATTGAGTTTGAGCAACTTTTGTTGAAATGTGAATTGATGGTGTTTGAGCATCATAACACAATATCTTGGAGGATTGAGAAAGTATGTCTGCAACATGATGCAGTTGCAACATTTATTGGATGTTACAAGATATCTAATTTATGGTCTTCAAAGTATAGAGACACCACAACAGTATTAGGTCCACACTATTTTTCAAATAGGGTTCAACCATCAGATTGTGTAGCAAGGACACACCAACTAGAGTTCTAGACATTTCCCGTATGAGGATAAACAATATAAAAGGATAGGAGGACTGATTGGGCCGATATCCTAAAGACATTTGTTTATCTTGGACGGAAAATATATTGTGCTGCTGTCATTGAGGAATTTAGCAGTGATGAGTATTTAGACAGAGACATTTTAGATTGCCTTGTAACACATTTTTCTAGGCAATGAGAGAGGCGTCTGTGGGTCTAGCTTTTGTGCTAGAAGTCAATGATACAGAGGAGCCGATATTTGAGGCTATGCGACCCTTATTGGAGGAGTTTCAGAATTTTTTCGCTAACAACCTACCACCTAACTTACCGCTCATACAAGAGATTGAATATGCTATCAACCTCATCCCAACAAGCTTACCGGATGCTACCAACAATGTATGAAGAGCTTCATGACTTGTTTGAGGATTTGATGGCCTGGGGGTAGTCAGTGAGAGCATCGGTTTATGTGTCATACCAACATTGATTGTGCCCAAGAATGATGAGTTGTGATTCATGTGTATCGATAGTAGTGTTTTGAACAAAGTCACTATCAACTAACAATTTTCATTTCCACAGATTGAGGAAGGAATTATTTCATGCAGTTTCATTTGAAAAGTTTAAGCCTAGAGTTGTCCATTTAGCATCGTCAAGTGGATTAATGATGGTGCTTATGAGATCTACTGAGAGATTATAATATTTATTCTAAATTTAACATCACTGACTTTTCACCATACTACGGGGATCTGAATATTTTCAGAGAAGAAGGCAAAACCTTACCTACTCCGGAAAATGACATGGGTACGAGTCCCATCATTTTTTGTTATTTTATTGGGACACGGGATACAAAACTCCAATCTCAGAAATCCTGTAGTAGGAATTTTCCGGCTATTTTTTCTGTGCTAGCTATTGTGGGCCTTTTTTAATATTATTTTTAATTAGAATTAGCGATATTTTGAGTGCGAGTTTTTATATGCTGTTTCCCGGCTTTGGAACTTTTGCATTGGGTCTATGTTATTCAGAGAGTTGTAGCCTTTCTTTCTTCTAGTGTTGGATCTATATCTTGAAGAGAACATGTGGTGGATCCTCCCGATCATCCTTACCTCGCCATTCTGCATGCCTGCTCCTTTCCTCTTATAGGTCACATATAACAGGTGATAGCAGATACTAAAGTTAGGATGTGATTCCTTATGCCATTTTTCATAATATTTGACCTTCCATCATTTCAGAAATGACCATCTTTTTTTATTCATAACAGGAAAGCGAGGATTGTAACCATCATCAATTTCATCTTCTTAAGAATTGATTGATTTACTTTTTGATTTCTAACTTAAGCCTCATTCACCCCTCTTCATATTTTAAAATCCAAAAAGTTTAGGGTGAATCATATTCAGATCCTTGAGCTATAGAGGGTTTTTTATGTAGGTTCGCACTTTCAAAATTTCAGGTTTGTCCTAACCTGAATATTATTTTATGAAGTTCCATACTTCTTCCTCTTCTCTCCCTTCTCTTAAATCCACTTCACCTTCCAACCCATGTTGTGTTTTATTGAGGCTAGGGTAGCCATATATTGCTTGGATTTTTGGTGGATGTTGTGCATCTCATATGGGCAAAACGTTATATAATATGTTGACATGTATATTTGTCTTTGTGGCCCTTCTACTTCCTAGATTGACTTTTATATTGAGTTTGTATTAAAATTATCTAGATTTGTTCATGAGAGTAAACTAGTGCTGGTGAAAAGGAGATTGCTGCATGAGAAGGGCTATAACATCAGAAGGGGGGAGGGAGAGTTAATGATCATAAAAGACTCTCAATTGACCTTTTATAAAAACATTGAACTATCTCTTAGCTTTATACTAAAAATCTAAAGGATCTTCACATGCTTTTTGTGTCACGATTATGCTCGTGCTCCGCCACTTTGTCATGGAAAGGAGTTTCAGCATTTTGCAATGTATGTAGCAATAGGTTGTCTTCTTGTCAATTTTCCTTGGAAGCATGCATTTGTTCATTTAGGACTGTTTATTTTTGTGGTATAGAGATTATTTAATTTCAAAGGATAATGTACACTTTTGAGAAAGAGATCTTTGTTAGAC